GTGCGGACCCCATCTGAGTAGTTCACATATTATGATCCCAAGTACATGAAATCTCCAGAATCAGCCAATCTACAGGGATAGAAAGCAGACCGGGGGTCGTGGGGGGCTGGCCAGGAGTGGACCCGGGAGTGAGTGGAATGGGTGAAAGGCTTCCTTTTGGAGAGATGAATGTCTGACTAGGTGGAGGGGGCCGTTGTGCAACATGTGGATGTGCTGAACGCCTGTGAATCGTTTGCTTTCAAGTGGTTAATTGTTAAATTATGCGTGTGAATGTCATCATCTCAATACAGCAAAAAAGTGGCCCCCAAAAGGGGGAAAAATGTGGACCTGAGATTCCAGCAAGAACCGGTCAGGCAGCAGCTCAGGTGGGGGAGGAAGGGAGGAAGGTGACTTGGAAATGGAGCCTCGTGAACCAACTTTTTCAGTTGATATTTGTCATTCTCAGGATCCCTTTAATAACCCTAATAATATCCTAATAGTCCTGGGCTATCCCACGTTTATTAGGCATCAGGGAAGGGGGCGGCACTTCCCTAGATGCCGGCTCTGGGAGAGCCTCTGCCTACTTGACCTTCCTAAGCATGGACGCCGACCCCTGAACGGGGTGTCTTTGCCCAACACGGATGTGCAGCCTCCGCTCATCCTGGCTCTGGGGCCCCATTTGGAAAGCCCTACGGCTCCCCCAGGGCGGATGTCCCAGAGGCTGTCGCTGACCCTCCTAGGATGTCCTTGGCCCCGTTTCCTGATAGGTGACTGGTGCCATGGACAGGTACTACTCTGCACAGACCGCGGGAGGTGCCATCCTGTGAGTGACACCCGCAGCACTCCCGGGAACCTTAGCTCACGGTCACCAGGCACAGCACGCGTGGGGCGCGATGGGGGATGGTGAAGGTGAGAGCCTCCTTCGCGCAGGGAGGCCGTGGTGGGACTTCCTTCCACCCTGCTCTGGCCACTCATCCCCCCACTTCCTCTCCCATTGCTCTCCTTTCTTTCCTTCGGTCCCTCTTTCCACCCTACAGTCCTCTCTTTCTTCATTTTGTCCGTCCATCTGTCCGTCTTCCCTTCTTCCTTCGCTCTCTTTCTCCCTTTCATCTCTGTGTCCATCCACCTGTCCATCCACTCCTCCTCTGCTCCATCTGCGGCCACCAGTTGGGAGACAGCCTCTCTGACACCGTGGACCTTCTGCTAAGTGCTGCTGGTCAGAGCTGGTTCTCGCCGGGGTGTGTGTGGCCTCGTTGCCTGGTGGCTGGGCGCCTGGAGGCTCCTGTGGGTGTTTGGGAGATGACCGTGGCATCCCCGGGTCTGGCTGTGTCCTCCTCACTCATCAAGGGTGGTGGTGGTGAGGGGGTTGTTGGGCGTTTCAGGGGAAAAACAAGAATTGGCTTCGGTTCCCGGTTCTTCAAGGCTGTTGCCATAGCTATAAAGACACGTGGTCCCAGCTGGTCATGGTGAGGTCAGTAACAGGCTCAGGGACCCTGCGCTTCCTGTAGGCTACCTCACACTCTCACAGTAGCCTCTGGGTGAGGGGCAAGTCTTCTCCCCACTGCCAGGTGAGGAAACCGAAGCTCACAGAGGGAGGTCACTCTCTTGAGGTCCCCATCAGGACTAGAGCCCCAATCGCTCCTATCCCAAAGCCTGTGAGCTTAAGCACTAGATGACACTCCTTTGGGGTTGAGGCTTCCTTTATCTTCACCACTGGACGCTCATGTGGAATGAGGTGCCCCCCTGCCTGCCTCCACCTGCTTCCCTCTCCTCCAGCTCTGGGCAGGGAAGAGTCAGTCAACGAGAGCTGCTGTAACAGGAAGCACCCGTCTGGTCCTTGCCACAGGACCCTGGGGGAGATAATAAGCAGGGTTGGCAGCCCCAGTGCTGCGAGGGGGCGACTCGGCAGGCACACTGGGGCTCCTTCAAGTGCTGAGCGGCAGGCCTCCTGGAGAGTGTGACTTTTAGGCTGCCTGAGTTTTTAAATTAACAGTTTTCCTTGGCTCTTCCATTCATGGAGGCTTTGCTTTGACCACCAGAGGGCGCTCAGCTCCCGGCTGCAGAGGGTGGGGGTTTGGGAGAGGTGCACAGGAGCGGTGAGGGCAGTTGGGATGCAGTTTTAACCAAGCACCCTTCAACCAGCTCCTGGGGACGGGGAGACGCGTTTCCAAGCTTTTCATTCATCTGGTGCCAAACTAGGTGCTGAGGGGTTCAACCATGGGAACCCCACGGGTTCCTGTCCTTGAGGAGCCTACGATCCAAATAGAAATGGAATGAATGCCACGTGGCACGTGCCAGAGTGATCATTTAGGAAGCATCCAGCGACCACCTACTATGTGCCAGTGTCTGCGCTGATTGCCAAAGATAGGAAAATGAACTCTACATTTTCTGGGGGCTGAGATGAGAAATTGGAAAAACCAATTTGGAAAAAAAAAAAAAAAGAATAGAAAACTACAGTCCGACAGATGTGGGGAACCGGGAATAAACAAGGCCGCGTGGTGTCAACTCAGGCTGGGAGGGACGAGGGAGCACTAGAGAAGGCTCCCTGCAGGAAGAGTGGCCAGTCCATGCTGGGAGGGACTGGGGTCTCAGAAGGCTTCCTGAAGGAGGTGACATCAGAGCTAAGTTGTCGAGGACAAAGAGGAGGAGAGTGTGTTCCTGGTGGTGGAGGCTCATAAGCCAAGGGTGAGAGGGTCAGAGGACCAGGTCACGGTGCGTGGGACATTAGGAACAGTAGGAACATTCGGTAAGAGGCCATCTTGCCATCTTGCCCTTCCTCTTTAGTCGCTCAAAACTGAGAGGGCTCAGAGCAAGAGAGAGGGAGAAGGACAAATGGAAATATCTACGTGGGGTTCTGGGGTGTTGTGGTGAAGTCCTCCAAGAGGAGAGATGGAGGAGCCTTCCAGGACTCTGCTAGAGGTCAGGGACCATGGGCTCAGGGTGGACAGTGGTCTGGAGTCAGGACTGACGGGGAGAGTCTGGTGTGGATACAGTTAAGAGACGGGCCACCCTTCCCCTGCCCTTTCCCTATGACCTGTCCTTTCTCTATGTCCTTGTCAGTGGAGAGAGGATAATATGGCATCCTCCTAGAGGTCATGGTGAGGCTGGGAATGAGACCTGAAAAGCCCCAGAGTCAGCCCCCGGGACACGGTCTGTATTCAAAGTAGCAGTAATAGTAGGCGTGGTCGGTGCTGTCGTTAATCTCACGATGAAGCGTCCTGCTTGGTAAACTGGACCGGTTTTAAAATGTCCACACCTGTGTCGAGGCCGCTCGAGATGCCCTCTCTGAGCTGCAGATCAAAGCCCATCAGCACCTGGCTGGAGTGCTTCTGCTTTTAACATTTCCTCCCCGTCTGTTTCTCAGTGTGAAGAGTCCTGTTGGAAATGGAACAACTTCACCTGCTAATTATCTGCTTGCAAGGAAGACGGACAGAGAGAAAATATGGATTCAAAAAGAATCCTGAAAACCCTGGCGTTTTTCTTTATTTGAGCATGGGACGTTGCGTAATCGCCAAGCCCCTCACCCCCCTCTTTTGAAATTTTTAGACATTTGAAGAATATGTTTGATTGAGCCCAACCTTGAGTGCGTACAAAAATATCATTCGTAAGATAGTTGATGATAGTTGGCGATAGTAAGACAGTTGGCTTCTGATTGGATATTAACAGTGGTAACACATTTCTGTTAATTAACTGTTTAAATATCACACCATTTCTTTCCTTCAGAGAGTTGTTATAAATTTCCTTATGTTTACAATTCCATGCACCTTGCCTTTTTTGTAGGGTTTTCCACGAATGCACTCTGTGGTAGACAGGGCAGACGCTCACTCAGCCCATTGGGGTTACAGGGTTGAGGTCAGGTTTCCCTCTTCCGTCTTCTCTCGAGTGGATTTGGAGCCGGCCATCGATCAGAGGCTACGAGCTGAGGGTTTCTTCATTTTGCTGTTTAGAGATCATTCAGCGAATATTTAAGTTCCTGCTAAATGAGAGGTGCTTGCTAGGTATGGGGGTTTTGTAGAATATCGCATCTCCTGGGTCTTAGAGAGTCTCTGAGATTAGGACCGAACTTTCTAGAAGTTTCCACATTGTTTTAGTTGCGTATACTTCAAAGGAATCCTCAGAGGGATCCCCAGGGTAGATAACAATCATGATGGATCCTGATACTTCAGACTGAGTAATTTACAGGGATTATTTTGTCTAATCTTCTCCACATCCTGGCAAAGAACTCTCTGATGGATAAGAGAGTTAAGTTTGCAGCGTGAAAATGATTCTCCTGAGGTTGGTGAAACCAGTCGTCAAAATCTGGAGAGTGTGGCCCTGTTCACCAGGCTGCGGACACCCCCGGCATGTCCCCACCCCCAGCCCCCAAGTGTTGCTGGTTGCTCTCTGGTGGGAGCAGAGAGGAGGGCTGGGGGCGCACAGGGTCCCCTCTTGACATAACTTCACACATCTCCTGCAGCTGCCCTTGAGGGGCCTCATGGGATCCAGCCCACAGTGTGGGGGGGCCCACTTCCTTCTGCACCCCCAAGATGGGTACCATCCAGAGCTCCTGGTCGGGGCTGGACCGAGAACCAGTGGGGGGGTGTGCCCAAGCAGGTTGTTCTCATATGGATGCAGGACAGTGACTTGGGGACTGACGTCTCGGATGGGGTAGAGGCCACCTTGACACAGATCTCCTGAATGCACCGAGGTCCACTTCTTCAGACAGCCAGAGGACAGTGTGGGGGCTCGTGACCCTGAGAGCTCAGAGTGTGAGGTGGGAGATGCCCTTGCCCCTGGGCTCTTTAGAGCTTCTTGAGGGAGCAGGGTAGAAAGGATGGCTTGTCCCCTTAGCTGTCCTCTATGGTGGAATGGGCTTTTCGGAGGGGCACACACACCCCCGGCCCCTTTCTCTTTTCCTGGACGCTGTGGACCTTCTTGTGTCTCCCCTTGGGGTTGGGACCCTCCAGGGGGAGACTCAAGCCTGGCCCTAATTCCGAGCCTGGATGGATACATTTCCCTGTGGTCTTCTGTCTCCCTCCCAGAGCCAAGAAGAAGAGCAAACCTTTGAACCTCAAGATCCACAGCAGCGTGGGCAGCTGCGAGAACATCCCTTCCCAACAGCGCTCCCCACTGCTGTCCGAGCGCTCCCTGCGCTCCTTCTTCGTGGGACACGCGCCCTTTCTGCCGTCCACCCCTCCTGTCCACTCGGTCCACACCACGGAGGCCAACTTCTCTGCAAGTAAGTCACCGCCCTGGGGCTGCACTGGCTGGGGGCAGGGGCGGGGACAGGGCGGCCACCTTTGGTCCCCAGCACTGAGGCTTTATGGGCCAGGTGCAGACGCTCTGTTTCCCTCTGACACTCCTAAATCGCTCACTGATCAAGGCTCAGCCGGGGCCGCCGCCTCCCCTGCGCACCTCTCACGCCCCTTTGGGTGGTTTTGAAGGGGGAGTGATTGGCAGGTAATCACCGGCCCGAGTTCCTGCTCTCTGATCCGCAGGTGTGGAGGGTGGCAGAGGAGCAGCTTTGCCCTCCATCGGGTTTTTCTTAGCCACGGGGACGAGGTGGCTGTGATGAGGCGGTGTGTTTTTCCCTAGCTCGGGTCACCACGCGAAACCTTTGCATCTCAGAGATATATTCAGGTTCAAACTGGGCTGAGCGTGGCCTGGGGTGGTTTATGTTTTTTGCTCTCACCAATTTTCTGCCGGAGACAGAGTTGTTATTACTCGGAGCGGAAATGGAAGTTTCTGGAGATGAAGGGCCGATGGTTCAGAAGGCTTTTAATCTCCTCTGCCCAGAGGCCCATTGTGATGAACGGGCGGGCACAGACAGGGTCAGAGGGGAGTCCCTTGAACACAGTCTGGCCGGTCCTCTGGCCAAGATAGCAATTTTGATTGATTGGTTTGCTCAGGAGAAGGAGGGGCCGCTAGACCGTGGAAAAAGTGACCCCTGCCCCTTCATACAGCCACGGGCTGTTCACGTCTTGCTGTCACTCTGGGTAAAGGAGAGAAATGTTTACTGAGCTAATCACCCACCCTCGGGAGCTCTGAGTTCTTGCAATTATTGATTGGATAGATGGATTGTTCCCATTGTCCAGATGAGGAAACCGAGGCTCTGGGGCAGCAGAAAACTCGCCCAAATTCACACAGCTGTCACGCACTTGAGCTGGGACTTAAATCGGGTTCTTTCTAATGCAGAGTAGATCAGTTCAACCATCAGATGTGATTCGAGAACCCAAATCAATCCCTCCAAGAAGGTCTTTCTCTAAATCTGGGAGTTTTATTTGTTGATTTACTTACGTGACATCGGACATCCGGCTGGATGTCGAGGCTGTCCCCCCCGGGAGTGAGCCTAGTTCTGACGTGTCTGACCTCCAGTGAGGTGAGAGTCTCTCTGAGCCTTGGTCTCTTCTTCTGTGAAATGGGGATAATTATAGGTTTGCCACATACACAGTCGTGAGGACCAGCTGAGCTCATGCCTGTCAGGCATGACCTTGTCCACAGGGCCTGGCACACAGTAAGTGCTTAATAAATGGTGGCTGTCATCATGTTGCTTCTTAACTCCTTTCTCTGGTATTTACAGCCTCTGGCCCCCTGGCTACTGTGGCTAAATGCCGTCCCCCTGCTTCTAGCCCTAAGAGTGCTTGGAACTGACCTTGGCATGACACGGGGCAGCAGCAGTCTGTCCTCGGGCATCACTATCCCATGAGTGAACATGAGGACAGTCCCCCTGGGGGTTGACTAGTGCTCTGCACGTTAGTTTGGGCCAGAGTATTTGGGTCCTGCCCCTGGCAAGGGGTCTTTGAGGATTCTCCACGGCTCCTGCCTTTCTGCCCCTGCTCTGGTGCCCACCTGAGAGGGAAGGTTGGTCTGTCCACCTTGGGCAGCAGCCAAGACCTTTATTCAAAGGCAGCTCCCAGCACTTGGCCCTTGGACCGTCCTGGCCTTTGTGGGTGAAGAGGTTGTCCTCTGACCTCCTGAAAAGGGACAGGATGGCATTGGTGTCCCCGTGGGATGAGCTGGAACCCCTTGGACCAGCCCCACATCCATTGATGCCAAGGAATAGCAGAAGGACAGACAGCCTGGAGGGTGGGACAGGCTCCAGTCGAAGAAACAGGAAGCTGTCTGCTGGAGCCCCAGTGCCACCAACGGCCTGTGTGTCCTTGTCCCTGCTGGCCGGGTGGACAGTCCTCACGTTCAGACTCCCCACGCTCTGGGAGGCCGGCAGCGAGCGCTGTTCCGGGTTTACAGATGGGAGAGGAGCCCGGAGGGCGCCTGGCCTTGCCCCGGGCTGTGTCTTGAACCCAGACCCAGCCCTCGCCTGCACCCCACCTCTGCAGCCCACCCAATTCCTTTCTCTCTCTGGGTCTCCGTGTCCCCAACTCTGCAAAAAGAGAGTCCACGGAGGCCCATTCCAGAGCTGGGGAATTTGGCCCTTCTGAGGCTCACCCCCAACCCACTTCCCCTCGCCAAGTCCCTGATCCTTTAGGATGCGGTTTGGAAAGAGCCCCTCGGCCAGGGCTGGATTCTTCTGCTTGTCTGGGTTCCCAGCCCCCCTCTACCCCGAGTACCGAGCCTCGGAGCCTCACGGTGGCCGGCGGTCCTGTGTGGGCTGCGAGAAGGACGTCACCTCCTCGGGGCTCGCCCTCCTCCCCTGGTGTAGGGGTGATGAGTCGGGGAAGGTAGGGGTGCCCCAGGAGCCCCAGCTCATGGAGGAAGCAGGGTTCTCCCGGGCTCCCAGCCCTCTGTGTTCTTGGGCTCACTCAGTATGAATCAGACACGGTATCAGACTCTCCTGTTGAGCCCTTATGTAAAGCAACTAATAAAACTCCCAGATTTGGACAAAGGCCTCCTTGGTGGATACTTGAGTCTCCAGACACCGACTCAGAAAGGAACTTGCTCCCTGAGAAGCAGCAGTGGGCACACCTCTCCATGCTCACTACGCAGACGGCCCTCACCTTACAGGGGAGTCCCGTCGACCCCTTGTAAATCCAAGATACCCCAAGTCAGGGACACATAGAACACGCCCACCGGACATCACAGCTTAGCGTAGCCACCATAACACGCTCACGACACTAACATTAGCCTATATCTGGCAAATCATTGAGCCAAAGCTTAGTTTTAAAATAATTTTAAATTTGCTCTAATTAGTTATCCATGACAGTAGAATGCACTTTGACACATCCCACATAAATGGAGCATCACTTCTCATTCTTCTGGTTGTCTGTGATGTAGAGTTACACGGGTCATGTAACCATGTGGAATAAAAATGTCCAATTCATTCTACTATCCTTCCTCCCCCCAGGGCCCCCCTCTCCCTTTACTCCCCTCGGTCTAATCCAAAGTACCTCTATTCTTCCCTAGCGCCCCGCCCCCCATTGTGAATTAGCATCCTCATATCAGAGAAAACATTCAGCCTTTGGTTCCTTGGGATTGGCTTATTTCACTTAGCATAATATTCTCCAGCGCCATCCATTTACCGGCAAATGCCATGATTTCATTCTTCTTTAAGGCTGAGTAATATTCCATTGTGTCTATGTACCACATTTCCTTTATCCATTTGTCTGTTGAGGGGCACGTAGGTTGGTTCCATAGTCTAGCTATTGTGAGTTGAGCTGCTATAAATATTCATGTGGCTGAGCCACTGTAGTGTGCTGATTTTAAGTCCTCTGGGTTTTCTGAGGAATCTCCACACTGCTTTCCGTGATGGTCGCACCAATCGGCAGCCCCACCAGCAACATATGAGTGTACCTCTTTTCCCCACGTCCTTGCCAACATTGATTGTTGCTTGTATTTTTGACAAAGCTTATTTTATAAGAGAGTTGAACATCTCGTGTGGTTTATTAAATACTGTACTAATAGTGAAGAAACAGGCGGATCATATGAGCAGGCTTTGACTCCATCATCGAGTACAAAAATCAAATCAGGGCAGTTGATCCATGAGCCATCCTAAGTCAGGGCCCATCTGTATTTATTCCATGCTGCTTGGGTCGGGGCTGAGGGTCGCCACCCATGTACCCCATTTGGGGTCCAACAAGCTGTGTACCTGTGGCTCTTCAGAGGGTCATCTCAGATCCCAAGTACATAGATGAGGCTGTCTCTAGGTACCCTAAAAAAAAAGTTACTTTAGAGTGAAAAAGAGCCACCTAAATGAAAAGTCAATTGTTCATCATCCTTTATCACCAGCTGGTGGAAGGGATTTTGGGTTTGGAACAACTAAGCCGCTGCTGAACAGTCATTAGGCAAATCAGTGAACCTCCTGAGCCCGTTTTCTACCCCGTGAGGATGCAGTGAGGCTAAAACGAGGAGCACAGATAAATTTCCTAGCCTGGGGGCTGGTGCTCAGGGCGCTGCTGCGTCTCCATAAAGGGTCAGCAGGGAGCTATTGCTGTGTTAGATGATGGAGTCACTTGGAACAGGGGTGCAATGACAGTAATAGCCGTTGGCATTTATTCTGTGCTGACAATATTTCAGACGTCGTGCAAAGCAATTTCCTTTTATTTCATCCATGCTGCATCGTCCTCTAGAACCCAAGCACCATTATTATCCCCATTTCACAGATGAAGAAACTGGGGCTGGGAGAGTTTCAGTCACAAGCCCAGGGCTACAAGGTCAGGAAAGGTGAGACATTCGCACTCATCCTGAGTCCTTTAACCTACAACTCGGGGCTGCGAGGGACAACACCATCTTCCTTGAACCCCTGGCTGCTCAGCAAGTGGGGAACTGAACTTGCTGAGTTTTTCTCTCCCGGTTGGAGAGTTGCCCGTCAGCATGCTGCGCTGGTGTAGAGAGCAGCACCCACGCTGGCTAGCCACTCGTCACCCCTCCTGGGCTCTCTTTTAATATTCATGACATCCATGGGCCCAGGTGCTGGCCATCCCCGTGGGGGCCAGGCAGCTGCCCACAGTGGCCAGGAAGCCAGCCGCGGGCAGCTTCTGCGGCTCTTTCATCCTGGGTGTCCGGGTCAGGGCTGGGGTTTCTTTGTTAGCTGCCCTGGGGGTGGAGAGCTTCAGGGCAGCGGCTGCGGGCGGGGAACAAGTGGCCGATGGGTCTGGAACTTTCCTATTTGGATCATAATGGCACCAGCTGGAGCTGAGACAGAGGCACTGGTCTTAGGAAGTATTCGCTTTGCAATGTTATCTGGAAGGAGCACGTGCCCTCGTCCGGGGCTGTCATCCCGGGTCCTCTCTGGGTCCCATTCTTGGTCCCGCAGACGAGGTGAGGAGCGCAGACCCCGGGTGG